CTGAGACGAGATATTTGCCGCTGGAAAAGCTTGCCTTGGCATTGATGATGGCTTCGAGGAAGTTGGCGCATTATTTTCACGCCCATACCATCGTCGTACTGACCAAGTTCCCCCTCAAGGCCTTGTTTGAACGGGCGAACTTCTCAGGACGAATTCTTAAGTGGGCGGTGGAGTTGGGGCAGTTTGAGGTGAAGTTCCAGGTGCGCACTGTTATCAAAGCTCAGACTTTGGCCGACTTCGTCGCCGAGTTCTCGCCTGGCATTCATCCGGTGTGCCCGGTCGATATTATCGTGGCAGATGATGAGATGCACGCAAGACCATCCGAGATACAACTAGTTAGTGGAAGTGGCGACGCGGAGTTTGCGCGCACCTGTGAGGCACCCTCAGTTTGCACGGTTACACCACCCGGTGATGCGATGACAGAGTTGTGTATCGCCAACCCATCCACTCTGTCCGGTCCCGCATCACCAAGGGGGGAAGGAATGGATCCGCACCGCTCAGAACCTAATGATTCACCTACGGACTTAAGCATTACAGATCAACTTGCCGAGTCCGGTGTCGAATCGTCAAGGGGGGAAGGAATGGATCCACACAGCTCAAAACTTGCGGCCGGCTTAACACCGCAACCTGATGATTCGCCCACGGACTTGAGCATTACAGAATTTGCTGAGTCCGGTGCCGAATCACCAAGGGGGACTGAATTGGAACCGGTTAACACAGAACATGAAACTGCACAGTCGAGCAGTCGTGATCCCATTGCCCTTCGCAACTCTCAGGACCCATCCGATTGCTGGAAGCTTTTTGTGGGGGAAATGTGGAAGCTTTTCGTTGATGGAGCGTCCAACTACCATGGTGCCAGCCTAGGTATCGTTCTTATCTCGCCGGATGGCCTAACCATTGAACATTCTATCACGCTTGGCTTCCCAGCATCTAACAACGAGGCTGAGTACGAGGCCCTTCTCGCCGGGCTCAAGAGCACAATTCAAATGAAGGCTGCTGAGCTCTTGGTATATAGTGATTCCCAGCTTGTGGTTAACCAAGTCTCTGGGATTTATGAAGCAAAGGACGACAGGATGGCGAAGTACCAAGCTCTGGTCAGGGAACATATCAAGCAGTTTGAGGCAATCAGAGTCCAACAGATTGGCCGGGAAGAAAACAGCTGAGCTGATGAACTAGCCGGCCTCGCTTCCATGGTAGATAGTACGTCTCCAAACCCCCTGTTGATTGACTTTCTTCTGCGGCCGAGCATTGAAAACGCCGGGCAGACGGATGTACTCTGCGCCGGGCTAGGTCCTTCCTAGATGGACCCCTTGATCTTGTTCCTCAGAGACCGGACTTTTCCAACGGACAAGAAAGAAGCACACAAAATCCGGGTGAAGTCAGAACGGTTTTGGCTCTCTCCATCTGGCACGTTGTATAAAAAGTCCTTCACTGGTCCTTATTTAAAGTGCGTGCACCCGAATAGTGTGGAGGCCTTCTTGTACGAAATTCACGAGGGCATTTGTGGAAGCCACATAGGGGGCAGATCCTTGGCCTACCGAGCTATTTCACAGGGATACTGGTGGCTGTGCATACAGGCCGACGCACAAAAGTACGTCCGCAAGTGCGAAAAATGCCAAAAATTCGCCCATCAGATCCATCAGCTGGCTAGGGAACTTCTTCCCCTCACCAGTCCTTGGCCCTTCGCCATGTGGGGGCTAGATATAGTGGGGCCACTACCAACTGCACCGGGCAACCGGAAATTCTTTATTGCGGCCACAGACTATTTCACGAAATGGGTTGAAGCTGAGCCCTTGGCAACCATCAAAGAGAAAGACGTGAAGCGGTTTGTCTGGCAGAACGTGGTCACGCAGTTTGGCGTCCCCAAGATTTTGATCTCTGACAACGGCACCCAGTTTGACGGTCACCTATTCAGAGGATTTTGTGAAGATTTGAAGATAGAATTCTACAACTCCACCCCGGCTTACCCGCAGTCCAATGGTCAAGCCGAAGCATCGAACAAAACAATATTAGATGGGCTGAAGAAACGGCTAGAGAAGGCAAAGGGAAAATGGGCTAAGGAATTGCCCAGCGTCCTTTGGGCATACCGAACAACCCCGCGGCGATCTACCGGGGAAACTCCATTTGCTTTGGCTTATGGCATGGAGGCGGTCATACCTTTGGAAGTTGGAATGCCCACCCTTAGAAGCGAAAGTTTCGAGCCCGAGCTAAATATGCTGAGGCTATTGCCTTGGAGTTGGACCTAGTGGAAGAGCGCCGGGAGAAGGCCCTCATCCATGTGGCCGCCTACCAACAAGAACTCTCAAAGAAATACAATAAGACGGTGCACCCCAGACCATTCAAGGTGGGGGATTGGGTTTTGAGGAAGGTTATGGGCAACACCCTGGTGCCAAGAGAAGGCAAACTAGGGGCAAATTGGGAAGGACCCTACAAGATCACTGGTCTGGCTGGCAAGGGGGCTTACCACTTGGAGGATCTAGAGGGAAGAGCAATACCCCGGCCATGGAATGCGGCCAACTTGAAACTGTATTATTTTTAAGCTTTTGTTTCCTTTTCTTGTGTCAAGAAATTTTTTGGCTTGCACTGCAGAATGTAATTCTTTTTGTCAAATATATAGAAGTAATTTTGCCTTAGCACTTGGACTGTTGTTTTAATGTAAAAGACCGAGATGATGTACTCCGGTTGGAAGAGTTGGTGTTCTGTCCAACTTCGGATTCCCAACCGAGATGATGTACTCCGGTTGGAAGAGTTGGTGTTTTGTCCAACTTCGGATTCCCAACTGAGATGATGTACTCCGGTTGGAAGAGTTGGTGTTTTGTCCAACTTCAGATTCCCAACCGAGATGATGTAATCCGGTTGGAAGAGTTGGTGTTTTGTCCAACTTTGGATCCCCAACCGAGATGATCTAATCTGGTTGGAAGTGTTGATGATATTTTCAAACCGGGCTGGTTATTTCGTTTTATAAATTTGTTTTGTTCTGCTTAAGCACTTCAACCGAGTTATGAATTCCGGTTGACGAGGTGTTCTGTTCAGACAATGATTTATACCGAGATATTTTGCTGAAGATGGAATTGATGACTACCGTGCAAACACTTGGCAAAATTTGAATTTTTCATTGACAAGAAATTCAATACAAAAGGTGGGGACAGAGCCCGGTTACATCAGAAGTGTTGAAAGCAAAAATACAAAAAAGAAAAGAAAACTAAACTAAGGGGGATAGATTGGTGAATTCGTCCTCGCCGGCATCAAGGTTAATGGTTGGACTGGTATCTTGCGCACCGAGCTCCTTATTGCTGGGCTGCTCTTGCACCTCGGCCTCTTCTGCCTCAGAATCTGTCTCCCCGTTTCCTTCTTCAAGTCCTTCCTCGGCCTCAGCCTGCAAAGCGCTGAAGACGTCGTTTGCATAAGGCACGAGGTATACCGGTAGCGAAGCTGGAGGAGGGTTGGCAAATACGTCGGTGTCAGAGCCCTGGCCAAGGTGTTCACAGGCGGATTTCCAGCCAGCCTTGAAGTATATGTCTTGTGTTGCAAAGACTTGCTTCTTGTAGCTCTGCTCGGCCTCGTTAAAACCTGCGTTGTTGGCAACCCGGCAAGCTTTCTTCTTCGACTTCTTCAGGGTGTCCACCTCGGTCTGGAGCTCATTTTGTTTTTTCTCAGCCGCATTCAGCTGACCGAGCAGTTTGTTATTATCAACGTTGGCCATCTCAAGGGAAGCCTTAGCTCGGCCGAGCTCGGCTTGAAGGCTCTCGACCTGGCTGGCTGTGTCGTTGGCTTTTTGCCGAAGCCTGTGGATGCGCTCCAAAACCAGGTGTTGTTTTTGAATGGCCTGCAAAAAGCAAAGTTGATTAGAAACGGAACCGGGCAAACACTTGTGAAATTTTCAGAGAAACATCGACTTACCCTGGCCATAGACTTCACTGACGATTTGACCAACTGAGTGTCAGGGACGTAGTCGCTGCCGACCACGTCGCTCGGTAGTAGCAGAGCTTTGGACAGATCGAAGGCGAGCAGATGCTCTTTGTCAGCCTTGATCGAAGCCGTTGCCGGGATATCCTGACCCCGGTGCTTCAATTGTGGACGTCAGGCCGGCACTGGGGCGGGGGCGTCTGTTGGGTGCTTGGTGGTGAGCTCGGTGACCAGCTCGGCGGACGGGTCTGCCCGAGCTCTTTTTCCGGCACGTCGTGCAGAGGGTTCGCGGCTGGATTGCCCGGCGGATTGAGTGGCAAGAGCGACCACAGCGCCACTGGATTGACCGGCGGCTGGTGACTGAGTTACTACGCTCGGTACCTCGGCGGATGTGGCGGTGAGCAGGTTCTTGATTCTGCTGCGCTTGGCCATTTCTTGTTCCTCAGTCAGGCGAATGAGGGGAACGTCTGGCAGAGTAGGATCCGGTGGAGGTGTTGGAGCTCGGAGGAAGTCAGTTACTTTACTCCAGCGGGGAGCGGAGTATCTGTATGTGGGACTGTAGCCGAGCAATTGGTTGCAATCTCGGTCGCGGTAGCGAAGCGCGGTCCTGATTGCCTCTACGTTGAGGAAATTGTAGTTAGCTTGCAAGGCTTGGATGGCTGCAAAAGAAACAAGAGAATGATTAAACTACAGAAACATCAAGAAAGTGTATAAACCGAGATAATTTGCGCGGCTTACATGTGCTCCCAAAATTTTTGCTAATCATCCAGCCCGGTACCTCGGCTGTCTCGTAGTTACCAGACACCCAGAAGAAATCATCGTCGTGAAGATCCTTGTCTGGTGTGCCGGTCACGATTTTCTCTCTGCCCGGTCTAATCTTGAGGTAATAGGCGAGACCGTCGCCGGTGTGGCCCATGGTGTATTGGCGTAGGACCTCGGCTAAACCTAGGCTTATGCCTAACCGGTTGTTTAGCTCGTGCACGCCGTTTATTATCCGGTAAGTGTTGGTGGACACTTGGGTGGGTGCCAGCCCGGTTCGGCGCAAGAACTCGGTTATCAGTGGATTGAGTGGGAAACGAAGGCCCCCTTCGACGATGGACAGCACGGTGAAGGGGCACTCCTCCTTACCCCAAGGTGTGGTCTCCTCTTCTGCGAGCTCCAGGTGGACATCAGCCGAGACGCCGTACTCCTCCCTGAACGCAGCCAGCGCAGCCAGAGTATCCACTAGGAAGAGGAATTTCCCCATTTCTGGCCGGCTTGGTATAGCCCGGTTGAGGGGTTTGGCACTGTGGTAATTGGTTGCTGCTCGGTTCTGAGAGACTCAGGAACGACAGTGGTCCCCTTGGACTCTGCAGGAAAAGGATGGAAAGTGTAAGTGCGAGTGCGGTCGCGCAAAATGAGCTGGACTTTAGCTCGGTCATTTAGAGTGCCAAACCACCTCGGTTGTCTATTCTAATTAAGGAGCCCGGTCGCCCAAGCAGACCAGATGTTAGCCCGGTTGAGCGACCAAGTCCTTTTATGATCTCGGTTTTTGCTAGGGTTGAGACAAACTTGTTATTTGCTCGGTTTGATTGGTTTTTTAGATCAAAAGTAGACCAGGAGCCCGGTTCGCCTCAGTTCTTCAGTGTTCTTCAGGAAGACGAAGAACGCCAAGAACAGTGGGAGGTTTGGGACGGATTCTATGGCCTATGCCCTAAGTGTTACGTTTTTGTACCCTAATGTGTGTAAAATGAAAGAAAATAGCAACTCAAGAGGGATTGAGTATCTTACCTGTGAAGGGCTGGAGGTGTTCTTCCTGGCACGAAGAATGGCAGTCGAATCCGAGAGGAGATAGCTCGAGCTCTGAATCGTCAGGAATAGAAGAAGCAGTAGGCAAAAATGATATAATGGAGGTCCTGTATGTATAGACCAGCGAGAGGCCGCCCAAATTCAAATTCTGGCAAAAACGGTGGGTTGGCTGCTCGATGACCAATGGCGGCCCGCCACGTGTCCCCAGTTTATGGCGACATCAAGACTGAAGCGACGGGTTGAAGAGTCGAAGAGCCAATCGAGCTACTTTCGAACAAAAGGATGTATGCCGAGGAGTATAACCGGGCAAGTTTGCAGACAGTTATGTTAACTAGCCCGGTCGAGGTTCGGCATCTTGAAGACCGAAGAAATGCTACCTCGGACGAAGTGAGTAATCCCAGTCACGCTTTCGCGGACGGAATTAAGGGGCAATTGAGAGGGTGATTTGCGATCTGGAGTTGGGCCGAGGCAACGGCCGAACAGGTTGAGAGCCCAACGGTGCATGGGGCCGAGATGATCGACTATCCGCCTAGAGATGGGCTGCCAGAACTTGGGCCGGGCAGAACTTGGGCCAAGTGTGAGCCACCCCGGACCGAAAAGGAGCTCGGCAAGATAGTGCTCGGTTGGACCGAGCTGCCTAACCAGGGGATGGCTGAAGCCAGACAAATTGAGTGACCGGCGCCCGGAAAGGCATGGTCAACCAAGGAGACCTTTTGATCGGCAGGAAGGCCGACCAAAGGAGGTGCCCGGGCTAGGCTCTGCCGAGATGCCGCCTAGCCCGGTCCTCCTTGTGTTTATCCAGTGAGGTGCTTGGGAATGAAGCATAGCATGGCCGTGGTAGAGCAGCTCGGCTGCCGAGCTCTAGCTGTGAAGTCAGGCAGTTGAGATTAGGTGATGTTCAGCAAGGTTTATGCTGACAGATGGGATAGCGGAGCCACGTGTCAGGAGACGACTGGGAGTAGATACGGGGCACAGAGGGTGTATAAGCATGTCTGCGCCCCCCATGCGCGTCACACGAACACTCTGTAAGGAATTTCTTACACTCAAACTCCTCTCCCTTCTCTCTATCTATCCTAAGGTGTGTGCTAACGTGATCGTCGGAGGGTTTTTCCGGCCACACACCGCCGGGTAGCTCACCCATACTTGCTGAAAACCTAGTAATGTCACATAGAAAAATGTTACTCACCAGTCACCATCACCCCACTCACCAGCCCCTTTGCATTCTCATTTGTTTGTATAATATTTGGATCCGTGGATTGTCTTTTGTACCGTAGTTAACCTAACCTGACTTGCTTTTAGGTATTTGTCTTTGAGTAAACTGGTCACATTGCCTGGTGCATCAGGTGCTTTCTTGCGGCTTCTACTTGACCAGGTGACTTCTTATCTGCTTTTAATCTTTCCTGCTATGCAACTAAACGTTGGTTAATCTACTTGGCATTAACATAATACTTTCATTAATAAAGTTATTTTGACCTGAACTTAATGCAGTTTCTTTTTTCTCCTCTATTCATTGGACTTTTCCTATCTACGCTGGTAACTCTTGAGGGGAGGCCGTCGCAAGTGGTGCCAAAGCTTCAACAAGTAATTCTAAATGCTTATTCTGCCTTTTATCTTTAACAGTCCATTTGGATTAGTGATTTGGTGAGAAATGATAAGAAATAAAGAGAGAGAACTTTATGATTTTGATCCGGACACCCCGGTACCAATAAAAATAAAAATAAAAAAGAACTTTATGATTTTATAGGTTTCATTTCTCACCAAAAGTGAGTGAGATTTGATGAAAAACAAACTGATTGGTTGTATATTTTTTATGATACCGAGATTGCCCATTAAAATATAAAGAAAAAAAAATTCCACCCATATCCCTATATCATATACTTTGCTTTCTTACTCATCTGAACATGATAGTGAGAAATCATAGTCATTTTTTTTCTTCTCTTATCCTGCTATCCAAACGGAGTGAATTGACATTTAACTCTTGAAAACATGTTATTAGAAGTAATTTGTCTTCTTTCCAAGTTAAAATTTTTCATGTTAATGATGATCTCCCATTTTGTAGGAGTGGTTCTCTGCTGTCCTTGCAAATTGGCAATTGTGGATACCTTTTCAATTTCTCAACTTCCGATTTGTACCACAGCAATTTCAGGTTTGGATGGCATATATTTTGTAATTATAAGAATTTTGTTCTACAAATTTATGTAGCCAACGCCAATTGATTAAGACACATGATTTGTTTCGTTATCCTCTAATGTTTTTACCTTACAGTATAAAATTTCCAACTCTTCATTCGTGGTTTACCATTTCAGGTCCTTGCTGCTAATGTTATTGCTTTGGTATGGAATGTAATTCTCTCGTACAAAGCTCACAAAGAGGTGCTCCCAAAATAGGTATGTTTTTAGAAGAAGGAACTGAAAATTTTATACCAACTATTTGGAATTGGACAATTAGATTATACATGTTTAAGTTGAATGCCATTTGGATGCCATGTTTAAGTTGAATGGTGTATGGATATGCAAATTAGACAACCATGGATTGAAAAGAGATGATATAGTAGAGTAAGGGAAAAATACCCAAATGGCAAATTCACAAAAGCTCTCATGAAGCTATAAAACCTTATTTTATTGTTGTTATTATTATGATTGTTCTTTGGGTTAAAATTGGAGCTGAACTTAAATTTTGCAACAGCCAAGACAGAACCTTTTTTGTTTTGAGCCTTATATTTTTTATGAAAAAAGAAGCAAATGATGAGCAAAAGAGAAATTGGAGAAGGGAAATCAATAGTTTATGATGAATGCCTAAATTGCATAACTAATAATTATGATGATTTATGTAGGCTAATATGCATTCCGTTGATGTCGATTACTTCTGAATATGTTTGATTGTGTGTGCTAATGATTGGGTTTTTAATTTTTATTGTAGGTATTAACTTGGCATGGAAATTATGAGATTTTGGAGAGGTTTAGGATCAAGAAAGAGGGGGAACAAAGTCATTGGATCATTCAAGTATAGAGTGTTCTTGCAATCTTTTAATGCTGTGGATTTATTAGATAATTACTAGTGTTTCAAGCCGAGATGTCTCTTTTCCAATTAAACAAAGTTTTAGCACTCTGTTTGGATTGTGGAGGTTAAAAAAGAAAACAGATGATTGTGGTAACGTATTTAGGTGAGAAACAAGAAGAAATTATGGTGTTTTCTCACTATCATGTTTGGATGAGTAAGAAAACAAAATATGTGTTGTAGGAATGTGGGTGATGGGCGATCTTGGTATTATAAAAGTTACACAACCAATCAGCTAATTTCTTATCAAATCTTATCATTTTTTGTGAGAAACAATACTGATAAAAAGTGTTTCTTTTCCTCCATTTGTTTTTTTTTCTTTCTACTTTTTATTTAACTTATAAACAAAACGTACCAAGAGAGGGGATTTTTTTTTTTTTTTCCAATCATTTCTTACCAAAAGTTTACAAGTATTTCTTAATGTAAATACATGTAATGGCCCACATTGTTAACATCTTTCATCTCACGTTGTTTTGTGAATAGAATATTGTTTTTCTTGCTTCATTCATTCTATGATTTTTAATGCAGAATTTTGGTTATATATATTATTTTTTATGTAACTAAATAGTATAAAATTAATCTTATTATTTTATAAATGGGCATGGCCGGGGAAAATAAAAAATAAAATATATATATATAAGTTTCAAATTTTAACCAAATTTGACTTTATTGGTAAAAACATTTATTCAAAGTTTTTAAAAGGGTTAATTGTTGAAAAATCCAAATTAAGAAAGGTATAAGACATTAGATTTAATAATATTTATATTTTGTTAGTGAAAGGTTCACTTTTTATGAAAGAATTTGGTGAGAAGTCTTTTTGTTTGTTTTGGATGACATTTTGTTTACAATTTTATCCATTAATTTATTAATTGATTTTTTTATCTGTTGATTTTTTGTAGACTATCTGCTCAAATTTATATTTGTCTGTTCAAATTATTTTTTATCTGTTCAATTTCTTTCCTATTTGTTCAATTTTTTTACCCGCTCTGTTTAATTTTTTTATCTTTTCAATTTAAATTTCCCTTATCTATTCAAATATATGTTCAAATGAAATCTATCTATTGAAATTTATATGTTAAAAAATTCTTATCTGTTGAAATTATTTGTTGAATTTTTTTTATCTATTAAACTTAGATTTGAAAACCCCTTCCTATCTGTTTGAAATTCACAAAATTGTTTGTCTAGATCTGAGCCTTGAGCTCAAATCTCTAAAAATAAATAAATAAATAAATAAATTCAAGCCTATTTTATCTGTACAAATTGAAACCCACTATCTCTCTAACTATTAGTTTCAGAGAACACATCCAAATATCTCTCTATCTGTTAATTTCAAAGAACACCTGTGTTCAACAACAACAACAGCAAGAAAACTCAACTCAGATCTATGTTAAAAAAAGATATGTATAATCACACAACTCAGCCAAACACACTTCCGCCGTCTCTTGGAGTGCCACGACGACGCTAATCTAGAACCCTAGATCGGTATTGAACCTCAAATTAGTGGCTACAGTAAACGCACCTCCACATCTCTCTCTCCCTCTCTCTCTCTCTCTCTCTATATATATATATATATATATACGTATGTGTATATCTATAGCTGGAGTCCGGTAAAAATCGCTACCGTAGTCTTCGCGTGGAGCTCGCAAACCAATCTTTTCGCCTCCGTCAGATCAACGTTGCACTTCTCCGCCTAATAATGTGATGACTACAACTCTCCTCCTCCACCACCACAATCGGTGATCTAGATCTGAGAAGACTGAAAGAGAAAAAAGAGTAAGAGAGAGAAAAGAGAGGAGGTTGTGAGTTAGTCAGACTTGCACATATCACTGTCGTTGCGCCGTAGTTGTATTGCTGCCCTTCGGCTTTTGCCTCCACCCCTACGATGACTCCGACGAGTAAACAGTTGATTTATCGTACCATTCTTCTTCGGTTTTGGCGGCTGAGATGGAAATGACAAGAGAGAGAGAGAGAGAGAGGTTAGAGTTAGATGAGAGAGTGAGAGAGAATTAAACCAGGTATCTGATATATATTTATATATATGTTGGTAGTTTGGACATTTTGTAATAACGGTTCCGATAGGTAGCTTGAATTTGGAGGCTCGAATTTGGCTCAAATTCGGAGAAGAAGAAGAGAAGAAGAAGAAGAAGAAGAAGAGAAGGATGAAGGAGAAGGAGGAGGAGGAGGAGGAGGAAGAAGGAGGAGGACTGGAGGGGGCATAATCACAGGTGGAGGAGGAGGCGGAGGCGGGCCGGAGGCGACGGCGGTGGTGCTGCGACAATCGCTGGTGCTGCGATGATCGGCGGGGGCAAGACGATGGCGGTGGTGCTGCAACGATTTCCTCTCCTTCTCTCTCTTTCATCCTCTCTCTTCCTCTTTTTCTTCTTCTCTCTTCTTCCTCTGCTCTTCTCCTGTGTTCAACGAAGAAAAAGAAGAAAAAAAAGAAAGAAAGAAAACGAAGAGAAAGAAAATGCAAAAAAAAAAAAATCGAAACCCAAAACGACGTCGTTTTGGGTTTCGAGCCGAATTCGGGCCACCGAATTCGAGCTGCGAGTCATTTTCCTTGTAATAATTGCCCTTGAATTTTTAAGGGAAATTTGGCCATAAACTCGGGTAATTCTATTTACACAACACAAAACTTCTCGGTACATACCATTTCCATAATTTTTTTATTACACTTATAACCCTTTATCAAATTACCATTTTGGACATAAATCTAACCCTAGACTCTTTTGGGCACCGCCACCTGCCACTAGTCTCCACTGTCTACTTTCACTCCCGGGCACCGTCACTGAAACCTAGCCACCATCGTAACCTCTCTACCTCGTCGGCGACAACTTCCTTTTCTACAAACCTTTCTCATTTCCTTCACCAGCAAACAACCCAGCCCCTTACATCAGCCATTGCCTACTTTTCTCCATCGCAAAGAGAGAAAGAGAGAATAGATAGAGAAAGAGAGAGAATAGATAGAGAAATAGAGAGAGAGAAAATCCTACAGTTTTCAGATCTAGATCTAGGGTTTGCAGGAGTCCAATCATGCAAACTAGATTTGAAGTTCCAATCTAGGATTTCAAGCTCCGAATCGAACCTTCACCATTGCAACTACCTTCGACGAAAAGCTCCTCTCCGATAGGTTGAAGAAGATCGCTGTAGAGGGAGGTTTACGGTGGTGAGAGTGGGTTTGGCAGTTTCTAGAGAAAGAAAAGAAGAATAAGAATAAAGAGATGGATGGAACGAGAGGTTGCAGCAGCAATAGCGGAGAGGTAGTTGAGCCGGTGGTGAAGGGAGGAAGAGGGTGGAAAAAGGTTTGGGAGTGAGGTTGGTGATGATGAAGTAGGAGGAGTGATGGATAGAAGAGTGAGGAAGAGATTCGCCAGAGAAGAAGGAAAAGAAGATGATGGGCGACAGCAAGTGGCGGTGGCTAAGGTTAGCGTTGGTGGGGTGGTTGAAGAAGATGAGGATATTTTAGGTATATTTGAAAATGAATGGTGTACACTAAGTAAGTGGTGTATACTGAGATGATGTGGGATGTGTAAATAGAATTACCCCATAAATCCCTCTTAACTTCATTTTCTTGCTAAAAGTATAGAAGAAAAAAAAATTAGTACTTTTAAAACCCTTTTATAATTATAAAATTATGTATAAAGGACAAAATTTGTTATTTAAATATTTTATTTGACTATTATACCATCTCTTTCTTCCATTTCTTTTACAACTCTCTCTCCCTTTTTACCAACTCGATGATTGTTCATCGTCTCCACCATCTTCATCATCTATCAGCGTCGCTCATCCTCACCGTCGGCCCGCAACCACAATTTTTACCATTAAACCACCACCATCTCAGATTTGATACATACGAACTCATATTTGAGATCAATAACTTCAGATTAGAGATTAAAAAAACAAAAAAACAAAACAAAACAAAAAACTTAGATTTGACAGAAAAATAAGAAATCGAGATATTGCAATGAAAAATTAAGAGTTTTTTGTTTATTTGTTCATAGATCTAAAAATAAAATTTGACTTTGGTTCGTTCATTTAATATGTACTCTGTTTTCGTAATAGTAAAATTTTACTCTGGTTAATAACATACTGATTTGCTTAGTGACAGTAAAATTGTACTTTGAGTCATAATAAATTTTACTCTGATTCAGAGTAAATTTTTACTCTCTTTTTTTTGTTTTTTATTTTTTAAATTACAGAGTAAAATTTTACTATGAATTAGAGTAAAGTTTATTATGATTCAAAGTGAAATTTTACTCTAAAACAAGCTGCGATGATAGCTTTATAGGAAAGTGTTGTGTTATGAACCAGAGTAAAATTTTACTGTTGAAAGAACAGAGCATCATGAGAAGAAGAAAGAGAGATAGAGAGACAGAGTTCGAAAAAAGAGGATCAACAGAAGAAGAAGAAAAAGAAGAATAGAGAGAGAAAGAGAGAGAGAGAGAGCGAGAGCATGAACCATCAAAATCAAAAGGAGAGAGAGAGTGAAGAATATCAGATTTGAGGTTTGCGAACTGTCACAAATTGTCATTTTCCGGTGATAACAATTGTGAATTATCTCAGATCTAAAGTTGTGGATACAACAAATAATGGTGGTGATGAAAACGGTGGAGAAAGAGTTTCATGGTAAGTTGTAGTGGTACCGATGGAGAGCAACGATGGCACCGATGGCACCGATGAAGAGAATAGTGATAAGTGCGAGACAGAGAGAAGAGAGATTGAGATGAGAGTGTGATTACAAGTTGATACACACACACACACACACGTATATATATATATATATAAGGATATTATAGTAAAAGAAATAAGTTTTAAAATACTAGGAGTTTTTGAAATGATCTATATAATTCTTATCTTTTTGAAATACAAGTTAGACACTGAGGAGTCTATTACCAAATCTTCAATTTTTAAATAAAGAAAGTTTGATTTTGAATCTTTGAACAGAAAGCCCTCTTTAAAATATATGGCTAGGTGGGGCCCCTAGGAGGTGTCTTTCCCCATTCTTTCTCATTTCCCTACCCCAAAACTCCTCCATTTATCTCCTCATCCTTCCTGCCATCTGTATCACCTTCTATAACCTCTTCTCTATTTACTTTTTAAGTTCATCTTAAATAAATTTTAATTTAATTAAAATCGAGTAAATTAATTTTATTTTTATAGCGCATATAAATTTATCGAATCGAATTTGAACAAAATCTATAATATTAATAGATCTCTTTATTCAAATTTACTTATTTACATTACAACTAAATTTTGAACAAATATTTAACAAATTGCATTGAATGACTAAATAATTAGGTTGGTTTCCAATTCAAAGTGGTCTGGTTGAGTGGTGGGCTAATGGTGAAACCAAACGACTCGATTCAAAAAAACCCTAATTTGTACTAAGGAGAACAAATCAAATTTTAGAAGTTCTCTTTTCCAAACCTAGCCCCAAAGGGAAAATCAGACCCAAATCTTATACCCGCCTGATCCAAACCGTATTACTCTTGTCGTCTACTTAGTGATTTTTATTTTTATTTTTTATTTTTGGATGTTTTTAGTCAAAAAATTAACTTTCCAAACATTTTCTAAAGGCCTTCTTTGCAAATTGATTTTTTTAATTTTATTTTTTATGAGGTAAGAAAAATTACTTTTAAGAATTATTATTATTTATTTTTTTGTTGAGGAATAAGAATGACTTTTTTTAATTGTATAAATTTTTTTGAATCATTGGATTTTAATTTATTTTAAAATAATTTTCGATTTTTAAATTTTTTTCGTAATTTAAATTTAATTTAATTTTTTTCAAGTCAAAAAAAGTATCTACATAAAACAAAGTAAAGGAAACCAGCGCGTCCTTGCGCGCATACACGAGTGCTGCTATTGTAACTCAATCAGCCTCCGTTTGGGAAGTGGGTTGGCTTTTTGGCTTTTTGGCTTTTTGGCTATTTTAGTCTGGGCTATTTTAGCCTGGTTTGGGAAGGGATTTTTGGCTTTTTGGCTTTTTTGACTTTTTTTGTGAGAGAGGATTGTAATGATTATGGGTTGGATTTGATGTTTTGTTTTTTGTGGCTAAAATAGCCTATTTTGTTTTTTGTGGCTATTTTATCCAAAAAAGCCTGGGCTTTTTCTATTATTTTGAACTATCTATTTTTTAGTTTTTTTTTTATTATAATAATAATTTCAAATGAAATTATTCATAAGGATATCAATAATTTTAAGACATTTTCATCGCACAATTAAGTACGCACACCCATTACATCATGAGTTAAGATTTATGAGAGCACTCATATCCATCATCACCCATCCAATCTTTTTCAAATCCCACATTTAAAACCTATCTACCCTCAAAACCTTGAAAACTCTTTGGCGGCAATATTCTGGTGGCAGCGGTGGCAACCATTTGAATACATACACTTCTCCAACAATGACAATGAGTAGAAGTTTGTTCGACAACCACAACTTCATGAGGCGAGAGGAGTACAACAATAAAAACTCATAAGAGGTTCATAGCTTTGATAGCGTTCTTAACTCAGAGGAGATTAGCCTTATAAATGTAAGTTTCTTTAAAAAAAATGGTAAAAATAAGAGAAACTATTTGTCATTTTTTTGGAACTGAACTACTGAACATATGATGAAAATTCAAGAACACAATTCCAAACATTGTTTATTTATTTAGGAATAGATAATTGAATATTTCTTATTTGTTCGGAAACAAATAACCCAAGTAGTAGCCGTAGAAGCAGGCAAACAAAGGAGGTTGGATCACTCTTGGGTAATCGATCGACCGATTTTCCTGAGGGTCGACCGGGGATGAAATCCTGTCTAATTTTGCTCATATAAAGACCATACAAGTACAGTAAGGCTATAGATGAATGATAAAAAACCAATAAGAGAAGTATGAAAGATGATTATGTTGTGTGTGTGCAAAGAGGTAATAAAAAGAAATCAAACAGGTTGACAAATCTTGTAATAAAACAACGAAGAAACTTCTTCACCATCACAATTTTTTTTTTTGATTTTGAGAGGTTCCATCATTGTGAATTTGTTAGGGTCTTGGAGGGTGTTGGAGTGTGCATTTGAATGGATGAAATATTTTTATAAGAATAATTTTTGTATTATTTAAGAAGAAAAAAGAAATTTTAAAGATTTTATAATTTATAAATGAGGAGTTGAAAAAATAGAGTGCAAAATAATTGGTATGGTGCCAAGCACTCCGCACACACAAGACAAATCTCGAATGTGGTTTTGGCGCGAAGGTCTCGTCTGAGTCCTCTCTGAGGAGGTAATTCTTCCATGGGGAGGTTATTAGGGTTTCGTCCTCCTCAGTTCTCGGAGGTAATTCTTTTGCATTCAATTCAAACACCTCTATCTATCTGTCTATCTATCTATCTATGGATTCAACATTGATTAGATTTGGTGAAGATACTGAGTTCTAGCTTGTAAATATTCAATCAAAGCAAGCAATAAACATATATAATTTTGGAGTTGAATCAATTGTTTGATTGTCACAGGAGGTAGCTTGGTGTCCTGCTTGGCTCCAACAACACCATGTTGAGCCATTCGATGAGCAAACTACTCCCGAGCAACAATTCACGGTTTGTATTTTTTTTTTTACTATCATCCGTATTATGATTTCAGAAGTAGATAAGATAAATAACTTGTCTTGTTTGGCACCAGAAAGTCCTGTTTTCTCCTCAGTATATGTAGTTTTCAGGCTAAGTTTATGTGTAACTTGTTGGAAATAATATTATATCATAATATATGAAGATCTCATGATTTGTACATATTATGATTATTTTGTATCTTTGATTTATTTTAATTCCTTAACCGAATGGATTTGATTGTAAGCAAGAGTATCGAGTTGAGTGAATAAAAGATGTAGTCCCCTAGGGTTTTGTGCGTGGATGTAGGTCAATCTTGGCCGAACCATTTTAAACCTTTGTGTTCTTTCTTTTCTTTTCTTTTTTGTCTCTATTATCTCTCCATATTCAACCTTATTGCCTTATTACAAAATTCAACTTTACTATCTTAGTATACAGTTGGATGTTCTCTAATGATCTTTTGGTGCATGAGTTGGTGATACAAGTTTCAGTTCTATTGATTTACAATTCTCAATCTCCCATTAGAGTACAAGTCAAGTTCTATTCAGTAATCAATGCCTATCTAGTGTGTTTTCAGGACCTGAGCTTGTCACAATATTGTCTTTTATTATAGAGATTGAGGGATAGTTGGTAATTTTTTTGGACTTTTGTTTAATGCAAGAATTTGCACAACTGGCAGTGTCATGCATTTGGGATCGACTAAGTACCATGGAGTTTTATTTATTTATTTATTTATGGTAATTTAGTAACCATGAGAATTATCATGATTTCATACCAATGTAGCAATGTTGCATGGCATTTGCTGTTTTTACTATGGGCACTGCAGATTATCAAAAGATTTCTTTACTTTTTCTTTATTTTTTGTTATTTCTTTTTGAGAAAAGTATATAGTAATGGACTTTTCACATTTCAATGAATTGGAATTGTCATTTTTTCAACAGAACATCAGCACTGGAAAAGATGTGAATCTGTCATCAAGGAATGAAGGTAGATATAATAGCTGCCACCTGTTCTTATCTGGGGAAGACAATTCACCTGCTAGTTTGGCTCAATCTTCTGAAAATGTAAGTTATTAGAAAGCAGGATACGTTGGTGTATAATTTTTTGCTTCTTGATAAAAAAATATTTGTGCCTGTGTGTGTATACACAGATTTTGTTCTTACTTAAACTGCATTTGTAACGTGCCCATCTTGAACCATAAGGATATTTTTCACTTTGGGCTAGGCTCTCATGGTTTTAAAATGTGTCGTTACTTGGAAGGGATGTGAACTCAATTTTATAGTCCATAAACTTTTCCTACCTAACTGATGTGGGACGGGATGTGACATTCTCCCTCCCACAGGTCCACACGTCGTTGTGAGTTTGGTGATCAAAGTTCTAAATAGTGTTATTAGTGACGGTGTAACGGTATTGGGAATATCGAGTGTTGTATGCTTGTTCAGATTATTTTAATCTTAATTTGTCATATTTTAATCAATCTTGTGGTATCTAAATTTTTTTGCTGCTTGTACGAATAAAGAAAATTAATGTTAACACAAAAATTGGACATGTGGCATGCAATAGATGAATTGATCAGCACTTAACATGCTCAATAATGAAAATGTGGGCTCTGTTTTGCATTCTTATGTGGTAGCATTCCCACATCAAGTAGAAAAGGGCTGAGTCATCACAAGTCAATTAAAAACCTCTTCATTTCTTTGTTTCTATGCAAAATACCGCAGTCCCAAGCCGGCCAATCAAAGGGACTTGAGGTGCTCCACCTCTTTAAATAGGCCACTCATGCACTAAAATGTAGTTGAAGCTGCAAGGATAACTCCAAAGCACCACATGGAAATCTGTTTTGAAAAGCTGCAAGGTGCTCCACCTCTTTGGAAATCCAGTTTTTGTCGGTGCGTATTGACTTGACTTGTTCTGTAGTAATTTTGATTGCACCTCGGTAAAGCGGGGTGTATTTAACTCAGCATTCCCAAATTCGTGTTTGAATCGGCTGTTATGCTATGACTCGGCTGCTTTTTAAATCCATGATGGGGACACTATGTCCACATCATTCTCTACCATCACTATACCATTCACACATAAGATAAGAGCTCATCTTATCACTATCTTGCATGATGAAAACAGTATGATCTGCATCATTGTTACTTAGTCTCTTCTATTTTCCCTACGATTCTGGTGTCCATCAGGAGATTTGATATGACAAGGGTGAGGGTGTAGAAAATGTGTCTGACACAATTTAGACACTTGGATCCTCTAATTTTTTGTACGATGTTTGAACAAGATGAAGCTCAAATTTGCTAGTAAATAAATATTTATTGCCTCTCATACTGATGGGAGAGAGAAATTTCACACATATATATATATATATATATATTTTCAAATTCTATTTAATTTCAGGTAACAAAATAATTTACATCATTTTATCTAAAAATATTATATAATATGCAATGTATATGTGGTCAGGACATGTCCCCATACTCTTACCCTTTTGGATACATATCCTAATATCCAAAGATCTAGTTTTACAAAGGTCTGATGGTTGGACATGCACCCATACTCAATACTTGTACTGGAGTCTATGTAAAATAGGTCTACACGACTTCACCTATATTCGAACCTGAACATGGCATTGAGCAACCTGTCAAACCAAGATCTATGAGATTGCTTTAACTCATAAAGCATCTTTATCAATCTACATACCTTCCCTACAGTTGATCGAGAGGAAAACAATGGTGTCAGTGTCTCCTCCTTTTAGTCCGAAGGAATCACAAGAATATTTGATGATAAGTTAAATGATTTGGGAGAGTTATAGAAGAGAATTTGTTACTTATTTTACTTTTGGGTGTCACTGTTTTCTCTTTTAGGGAGATTCCTTTGCTTTTGATTTGTAGAGATTGGAGAGTTATGTGTGAGATGTAATTTTGGGTATAATTTTATCATTTTTTTTGGTGGACCTCTCATTCTCCTCCTCTTGTATCTTCTTCTTCTTGTTTTTTAAATAAAATTTTGATGTTTATAAAAAAATGTAGATTAATTTTTTCACAAGTATATAAATGGGGCAATCAGAGAGCGGCATCTACTCCCAACCATACCCCAAACCTGAATCAGATTCACATTATTCTCTCCATACCCTCCTGATTCCAATTGGATGCCTCCCAAATTATTCCTTTTGTGGGGTGGGGAACCTTGATTAGTGGGCCAAATTTCCATTCCTACGTGTGGCTTAGATAGCAGTGCCCCCAGATTTCCAAGAAGATATGACAAGATTGACTTTTGAAGCCTTCAGAGTGTCAGTTTCCCCAGCCTCCTTCAATCTTTTTCCCATACACTGCTGCTGATCTCGAAGTTTTGGGGTAATGAAGGCACAATTTATGTAACATAATATTTTTTCTTTTTTTCTTTTCTCGTGACTAGTTCATTTCTGTATGTGTCTTAGAGAACTAGGTGTTTCTATTGTCAAATCAGAACCTGGCCTCCATCTATTTCATGCTGTTGCTTATCTCCAGCAGGTGGTACATTTTCATCTGCATCTATCACCAGATGGTATTTCACAGCATACACCAAGTTCACTTTTGGATACGTCCCAAGCAGGGAGGACATCCTCTAATAATGTTCTATCAGTGCATCAAACTGAAGTGTCATCAGCAGGTCAAGAAGAGATGGAGAATCAATTCAGAGTGGGTTATAATGTTGATGTGGTAAATATGCCTCCTTTGACTTCCCAGCAGGAAACATCTGACCATGTTTGTCCTCAATCTCCTGCAAAGGACAAGGATGTCACGATAAATAATGAAGAAAATGCTGGATATCTCAAAGTTTCTGATATCAATGAAGCTGTTGAACTCTCGATTGCGGCATCTGAAGCACTAATCATACATGACATGGTAAAGAGTTCACCATCCACAAAATCATTGGCAGCTGCAGCTGTACTTGAAATTGCCCTTCGAGTGAAGCAAGCACGCTTGGAGGGTTTGGAAGACGGCTTCCACTGCCCCACTGAGGATATTGATGAAATGGATTTTCTATCAGACTTGGATGAATCCGATATGGCAGATGCATTTGACGATGTGGGCTTATCTGTTAGTAATCTTGATGATCTGTGTGCTTGTGCTTCAACCATATCTCAAGTTAAAGATACACCCAGTTCAGAAAATCATTATGGATGTGATGAGGGCCAGGGTACTCCAAAAGTTGATTGTGATGACATATCTGTAAAACAACAGTCAACAGATATTTTGGACATGGCAAAACATGAAGGAAAAGATTTACCAATAGAAGTTCTTGATTTTGACAGGCAAAGGAATCTTATAGATGATCCAACTTTTGGTTTAGAGACCTTTGTTGTGGCAGCTCACAATGACTCCATGGTGCATTTGTCACTCACGGCAAATTCTGATGTTCCAGCAACAACAAAGGCAAAAGAGGTATTGAAGTTCATTTTCTTTAATATTTCGGTGTCTTCTCTGTATATCAGCTGAACCAAGTGTAAATGATTTTTTTCTTTGATAAGTGTTAAGTGTAAATGAAATTTTAAGGTCGTTTTTCGTTTAAAATACAAGGTTTTCTCAATCATCCCCTTCCCTCTAGCCCTACAAGCAAATGCATACTAGTTCAAGAATTTGTTAGACAAATCTCTCAATTAGATTCTCATGTATGCCTCTGCAGCCCTCATTGATGAATGTAGATTGTATCTAATTAGTAGAAGATTCTGTTGCTTTTTAGTTTGATAAGTAAACCTTGGGACACCAATGAAGCTTGCTTGGATTGCAGGGAGTTGACTTTGCCATGGAGAACATGACTTCATTTCAGCCTCAAACAAATTTGAACTGTCCTCCTCACGCTTGGAATAATGTGAATAATGGTGATATTTCTGTTTCCATGTGGCTCTTTCCTTCTCCCCGTTTGATGCATGGTGATCTATGCTTATCTTGTCATTTTATTTTCTTCTTGCAGAAAGAGATGATAACCTAACAATTGTAAGCTCTGACAGATTTCAGAGCCGCTGGATGGGCGGTTGGATGTGGAAGGTGGATGTTGCTTTCCAATAAATCTCTCTGTTAATATTTCCTTCCGTGCTTCTGTCTGTGTATCATGCTGTTCTTAAAGGGATATTATTCACTTCAATGGTAACAAAAAGCTTGATAACACTATTGATTGTGTAATTTAGAGAGAAAAAAGTCTCAGTTTCTCATGTTAAGGTGCTCTTTATTATTGTTATTTTTCTCAAATTGCAGTATAGGAGGCAAAACCTCTGTATTGTTGTTGAAATATTGAACCTCCCCCAGTTTTATTCCATCATTATTATTATTATATTTTTTGAAATATTCTTTTCTACCTCATGACAACATCTGAAATTTGAAGTGTATTCAGCCATTCTTGAAAGGTTTACATTGAAAATTTGTGAACTTTCTTTTTTCTCGTTGTCTTAGGTTTCTGAATCTTTACAACATCCTTTTGCATGCTCTGTTATTAACTTGCCATAAGATTGTTTTAATTTTACTAGTTTTCTATGTAACTTCCAAATGTCCATGATATTGAACTTCTAGTCTTACATTCAGAACACCACCTTTCACTTATAAACCCCATCCTTACCTTATGTCTTCCATAAACTTGGTGTGGAGCACTACAACTGGACAACATGTTTGTGATTATCAATTTCAGGTTGCTATCCTCGTTGGTTATGTAATAATTTCTTTAAGTTAGTTAATTTTCTTTTGTTCCACAGAAGGAAATAAATGTTCATGCGTTGGCGGAACATGATAATGCTAAAAGCATTCCCAAATTTTTGGTTGGCGAGACAAGCTATCTATCGGAATCAGCTGATATTGCCCAAGATGAAAATTCATTTGTGCAGGACCAGGATAAAGGGTCTCACATGGCTTCTCAATCAAGCATACCTAAAGATTTACATAACAGGGATGATGAGGGTATATTGTTTTCTCAGGATGTCATGAGATCTTGTAGTTTATCCTTGGTCGATCCTCTTTGTTCTGTTGTTCCATGCAGTATTTCTTCAGAAAATGCCTGTTCTACTCTTGCTGAGAATCCAAATGATGAAGTTGATGCTGGAAAGTGCCTCAGGCCTGCATCAGAATATTCTAACTTGAATTTGCAGAGAACCTCATGTTTGAATCCAGAATTTGTACATGAGGAAAGGCAAGCTGTCTCTATAATTAATGGTGAAGGTTCTAAGTGCACTGTTCGCAAGCAGTTGACCTCACTTAAAACTTATAGCATGGTATTGCCTCACCGCAGTGCCTTTGGGGAGAGGGATAATATTTACTGTAATCGCTCATTCCCGTCAGAATACAGTTCAGGATTGCTTTCTGCTAAGCAAAATATGGGCTGTAAGAGGGGTTCAACAGGACAACCATCTTTGGATTTCATACGTAAATGTAGTACTTCTAGAGAAATGGAAGGAAATTATGAAACTTCAGTTGTGCAGAATCCAGTCACAGATTTCATGAATCAGAAGAGAAACAATGATGAGACTGCAAAAGATGTGACTGAGTTGCAGGTTCACATGGAGAAAGCTAGGTGCTCACCTCTTATTTTAAGCCGGGGGAAGCGTAGCCGTTTTCAGGCTCCTAAAGAGTTTGTAAATGGTTTCAGTGGAGAAGAAAATCCAGAACATTCTGCGAAACAAAAGAGTGATTCTAAGCTTCCACAGAGCAAGAACCTTAAAAAAGAGCAGCTTAAATGCAAAATTGCTTGTGATGCTGAGGTTCCAGCAAGAAAACGAGTCCGTTTCTCAGACACTGAAATTCAGCTTCCACAGAAGAAGGATCTCCGAAAGATGCAATCTTCACACAGAGATTGTAAGCCTTAAATGCTGATGCTGTATTGGACCTCTAAATTTTAATACATTTCTGAAACTTATATTATACCTAATATGGTTTATTGTTTAAATCTGCAGGCTCAACTACAAGAGCTGGTAAAAGATTGAGACATTCCAACCCAAAGTTTAAGTCTACAGTTCAAGAAGTAAAAAAGAGTCAAACAAATTGTCTTGCCCAGATCATTAACAGACTGATATTCCGAGATATAGAATTCTTGCTTACAGGTTTTCCTAGACAAAAGGAAAAGGAAACCGAGGGCCTAATTAGGAAACATGGTGGTATAGTTCTTGCTGACATTCCATCTCCTCCAAATTTGAGGGGAAAGAGAAGCTCAAAATTAAAACTACAGAAGCTTCCCATAGTTCTGTGTTTCAGAAAGGTTTGTTACTTAAAAAGTTAAAGCTACAAATACTCATCTTTTCCTGTTACTACTCTGCTTCCTTATCTATTTATGTTGACTTACTCTACTTGTATGGAGTAATGTAAGTATCATTCTTAAGCTAGATTGATTAAGGTTTGTTGTTGCGAACAAATGAAGTTACATAAATGGTTTAATCTATGCATTTTTTTTTTCTATTTTGTTTTCTTGATGGGTGCGAGAAAGAAAAGGTTCTAAACTAGCAAAAGTGCTACCGGACTGTTCTCATGTGTTCTGCACACCAGATGTGTTTTTAGTTGATCTTTGCTTGTTATGTGATCGATGTATACTAATAAAAGTAAATTTTTTAATAGCACATTTATCAGGCCAATGATGTTGTACAAAACATAATGTTAGGCAACTAAGAAACAATACCTTCATAAAGTGAATGTGCTTAAGGTGAAGATGCTTAGATGGATGCATGGTAACTGTAAAACCAGGAAGTACAAAATTAAAATAAATATATTCGTGAAATGGTAGTAGTAGTACCGATGAAGATAAATTGAGAGAGAACAAGTAAGATGGTTTGGTCATGTACAATGAAGATGTAAGTGTTATGATCACCATAAATGAAAATGTTAGGGGGAAGAAAAGACCTAAATTAACATGGAAGGAGATAGTAAAAAATTATACGAATTTATTTAATTTAAATGAGCATATAGCCCTTGACAAAGGAAAATGGCAAAAAAGGGTTCATGTATCCAATCTCACTTGATTGGAACATAAGGCTTAGTTTGGTTTAATTTGATTATTTATGTCATATATATGAATATTTCATTTAAATACAAGTGTTACAGCTGGAGATTTTTGTTGAAGATTAAAATGGTGCACAATTGGAGTTACAAGTGAAGGAAAGGAATCAATATCTTACCGAAGTTTGAAGGACCAGATTATCAAGGTCAAGAAAGCTCCAATTACAGATTCAACAATACCTCAAGTAGCTTATGTATTGTCCTTGAAGTAGTTAAAGTCGATAGCAAACAATTAGACGACACTTGTGCTGAACTGAAATTTTGGAGATTTTGCTGTTGGTCCTGAATTTGATATGCCTTTAAAGGTTACTAGTTTGCTATTGAAGTTCTCTCACGTAGAGCTACAACTTAGAAGAGTTTCCTAATGAGATTCTCTCCCTTGCATAGGGTCTCACACACAATAGATCTAATCTAAGTGGCCACGAGAAGTTAGTCGCAACCAGTTCTTGATATTAGAGAGGAGGCCAAGGGGCCAAGGTCGAATTATGTGAAGATATTATAATAAAAGAAGAGGTTAAGTGAGTAACTAGATTTCTGTTACAAGTGAGAGCATCTCAAACAGACTTCAAATTCAATGAAGAGATGTGTCTTCTACTCCAATTGATTTTGTCAATCTGGAAAATTCAACTTCATAGTTAAGAAGGTTGCATTGTTCTGCTTTTCAATTTCTATTGAAGCAGAAAAAGCAGTCTCAACTCGAGAATTTTCATAGCAAACAATAGATGCACTTTTAAAGCTTGTGGATTTTTATATTTCAACATTTTAAAACTGGAGGTTGAGTTTTGTCCAACTGGGAGGGGAAGGTGCCGCCTATATGAACTCAAGGAAGTGTTACATCAAAGAGGGAACCGACTACAAAGTTTGGCATGCTCTTAGAGTTAAGGGTTCATAGAAATCTTTGTAAACCATACGAAGGTTCTAATATAATGGAGAGCATGTTTAAGAGGTTTCATTGAAACTTTCGAAGCTTTCTTGGAACTGTGTAATGCAATTCTAACTCCATGTATGATGCTGATCAAAAAATTCTCTCTATGTATGATGCCTGTACTTGTCTTTTTTTTCCTCTTGTCAACCTTCTGCAATTTTAAAGCCTTTAAAGCTCATAGCCAGGTCTGAGAAGCCCTTATTGCACTCTTAAATCGTATTTACATATGCCAACTCTTCACTCATTGATCAAGTGTAATGCAGAAATAACATCAAGCCAACTCTATTCTTGGTTACTGATCACATCACCCAAACTGCCCCACTACTTTCTTTATGCCTAAAATACTAGCCCTTAAACCTCATAGCCAGTTCTGATTAGCCCTTATTGTACTCTTAAAATCGTACGTAAATGCTCCAATTCTTCATGCAATTTTTTGACGAGCACTCCAACTCTTCGCTCATTGATCAAGTGTAATACGCAAAAAACACCAAACCAACTCTTTTCTTGTTATTGTTCCCATCACCTTAACTTCCCCACTACTTTCTTTCCACCTAACTACTAGCAGATCCCTGCCCCTTCTATTGCCCCATTTGGCTGCTAAAACCAACTAGAAACAGCCTAAATAAGGCTCTTAGCTGCTGACCTACATTGTTTTTGGGGTCACTGTTTGTACTTTGTATTTTGTAGAGTTTTCTTCACAATCATCCTATATCAATCAATTACCTGTAATGTACATTATCACAAATCTGTAGCAATGATTCGGCTGTATGACTATAAATGTTTGGTTATCTTATGTAAATTTACTGACTTTGTCAGTGATTGTAACTTTTGTCAATGTGAAAATTGAGTGAATTTGTCAACGACTCAGGTAAAATAATCAAATATGTTTAACTGAATCATAGAAGATGTTGAACAACATTATTGATGAGGGTTCGAATTCCCTCCTGTTTGCCCGGTTCACTGGCTTAGGGGGTGGCCTCTAAACCACAGCTCTTAGTTCAAAAAACTTCCTGACAGTCCAAGATGCCTCAGTAGGAAGACACTTACCCTTAATTACACAAGTATGGACCCACTTAACCCACAAAGAATCAGCTTTCTTACTTAAAGCCCACAAAGGTTGTCTTAGCATAGTGGCCTTATTCCACTCTCTCAAATTTCTGAATCCCAAGCCCTCTTCAGCCTTTGGTGCACAAATATGCATCCACTTCACTTTTGCACTGTAGTACCTAAACTCACTCCCTGTCCACAAATATGCATCCACTAGAGAGAAGTTTGTTTTATCTCTATTATTATTTTTAAGGAAAACTCGTCAGATGTATTCATTCATATCATATCTGGTAGGTAGGGTAGCAGAATGGATGAATATGCTTTCCCTTGATGTCTTGGGAAAGAGAACAGAAAGGAGGCACAAATGTTATGCCACCTTATTTATGTGAACTGCAAATTTATATTTTTTTTTGGTACACGTTAATCTTTTGTGTGTGATTACTTAGATTAGGGGCCTTGATCATCAGTGCTGATTGAATGTCAGCTCAAGCTGCTCATCTACAACCCAAAGTTTAATCTAAAACTAAGAACATCAGAATCATTCATGTTTTAATTAATCTGTGGTATTATTCGTTAAAATAAACTTTACCAACTTTATTAAAAAATCATATATAAAAGTGAACTGAATCAATGGAGCTTTGATAGTTAACTATGTCTGTATTTGTTATGGTTGTTAGCTTATTAATCATCGTGTACTGAAATTTGCAGGTACAACAACAGGTATAGTTTTATTATGCCAGGTAGTTGTCTCAATACGATGTACATGTTTATAGGATTTAATTGATTTTTGTGTGGATTTTTATATTTCAACATTTTAAAACTGGAGGTTGAGTTTTGTCCAACTGGGAGGGGAAGGTGCCGCCTATATGAACTCAAGGAAGTGTTACATCAAAGAGGGAACCGACTACAAAGTTTGGCATGCTCTTAGAGTTAAGGGTTCATAGAAATCTTTATAAACCATACAAAGGTTCTAATATAATGGAGAGCATGTTTAAGAGGTTTCATTGAAACTTTTGAAGCTTTCTTGGAACTGTGTAATGCAATTCTAACTCCATGTATGATGCTGATCAAAAAATTCTCTCTATGTATGATGCCTGTACTGGTCTTTTTTTTCCCCTTGTCAACCTTCTGCAATTTTAAAGCCTTTAAAGCTCATATCCAGGTCTGAGAAGCCCTTATTGCACTCTTAAATCGTATTTACACATGGCAACTCTTCACTCATTGATCAAGTGTAATGCAGAAATAACATGAAGCCAACTCTATTCTTGGTTACTGATCACATCACCCAAACTGCCCCGCTACTTTCTTTATGCCTAAAATACTAGCCCTTAAATCTCATAGCCAGTTCTGATTAGCCCTTATTGTACTCTTAAAATCGTACATAAATGCTCCAATTCTTCATGCAATTTTTTGACGAGCACTCCAACTCTTCGCTCATTGCTCAAGTGTAATACGCAAAAAACACCAAACCAACTCTTTTCTTGTTATTGTTCCCATCACCTTAACTGCCCCACTACTTTCTTTCCACCTAACTACTAGCAGATCCCTGCCCCTTCTATTGCTCCATTTGGCTGCTAAAACCAACTAGAAACAGCCTAAATAAGGCTCTTAGCTGCTGACCTACATTGTTTTTGGGGTCACTGTTTGTACTTTGTATTTTGTAGAGTTTTCTTCACAATCATCCTATATCAATCAATTACCTGTAATGTACATTATCACAAATCTGTAGCAATGATTCGGCTGTATGACTATAAATGTTTGGTTATCTTATGTAAATTTACTGACTTTGTCAGTGATTGTAACTTTTGTCAATGTGAAAATTGAGTGAATTTGTCAACGACTCAGGTAAAATAATCAAATATGTTTAACTAAATCATAGAGATGTTGAACAACATTATTGATGAGGGTTCAAATTCCCTCCTGTTTGCCCGGTTCACTGGCTTAGGGGGTGGCCTCTAAACCTCAAATTTACCTTCTTGGGGTGGTCCAAAGGTCCCTGCCTAGGATGGGTTCTCGATTATCAACAAAAAAAAAAAAAAAAGGAGGAAGAAATATGTTGAACTTCAAGTTGAGATTCAACTTTAATGACTTTGAAAGTAATAAATTCTTTTCTGTTTATGGATATTAAATCTATGATTTTTGGTTATACTGCTTTACATTATCATTATCAAACCGCTTTACATCTATTTATGTTGTGTTCTCCCTTCTTTGCACAGTTGGTTTGCTTATATTATTCTTAGTTTTTATTTGGGTTGCGGATGCCTAATTTTGAATTTGATATTTTCCTCTTTTCCCAGCTAGAAACGACCAAGTTCTTGTATGGCTGCGCAGTAAATTCCTACATACTTAATGTTAATTGGCTTATTGATTCAGTAGCAGCTGGTTATGCCTTACCGCGTGACAAGTATGTCCTGCATATATTTAACTTCCATTCATATCACTGGTGCTTTTTAGCCTGCTGATTTGTGTTTAACTTTCTTTCATCTTGTTGCTGGAATTCTTTAATTCTACTGTCTTCTATTGACTGCAAAGTAGTCTAAGTTGAAATATTGACTCTGATTGGCCTGTACTCAAGTGTTTGTGATTTCAGAAATCTTTTGAAATTAAAAAATTGTAGGACTGAAATCAAAACAGTAAATGGATAGAGCTAATAAGTGTGCTTTCATTACAAGATGCAAAAAATTCTTAACCAAAGGTAGTGTTGAATATTGACATCACTTATAGGTAGTGGTGGGTACCCAATGTGAGAGCATTAGAAGAAAGATAGATAGAACATGGGGAAAGGTAATTTTCATTCCATGGCTTTTGCTAATCCATGATATTAGTAAACAATAAATGAGAAGTACAGATAAGGGTTGCTCAGATATGATATTTTCATTTAGTATGTGTAAGAATTCAATGGCTATAGGTAGTAGTGAACTGGGGATATTTTGGATCTCAAGCTCAAACTTGCAAAGTCTGGTCTTGGTTAAGATTTTTGCAATTTTGGGAGAAAGGCTTGAAAAATTCATGAGCTACAAGGCTCAAAACTAAGCAATGGGTAGAATAAAGATAGAATTCAGATAAATCTGTTTAAATTGCTTTTTTGTACTCAAAACTCTCATCATGTGGGTTTGAAGTCATTTTTTTTCCCCAAATAACTTGACCCTTTGATACTGTAGTTTAAAAACTGCTTTCAATAAGGTCCAGCTCATCAATTTGAAGTAAAATATTCTTAGATATTTTTCAAATCCCTGAAACAGTACCAACATATTAACATGACCTGCTAAAATTCAAATAAAAATGTAGACAGAGATAATAAGAATACAATGACCCCTAATAGAGCAACAGACCCCAAGCTAAAGCCAAACAGATGAGCTTTTTCTATGTTCTTTGGAATCTTTTTTTTTTTTTAGAACTCTATTCTTTGGAATCTGATCTCCAGCTTTTTCACCCAACAATCAATTTTGATTTCGAGTGCATTATCTGTACTGGTGGTGGATTGTTTGACTAACTTTGATTCAAAATCTTACAAGGAATTATTTAGTTATGAGAAAATATATCCAAGTAATTGAGATGATACCACAATCTTAGTAAACTTGGTTTGTATTAATAAACTTAGATTCTCACTATAATTTATCGATTTGTTAGGGGAGGTTGGTGTTGTTTAATCTTCAAAAAATTGTCCCACTAATATAGAGCAATATATGATTTCAATTGCAGCAAAATAAGTAGTTTTTGAACAAATTATAGGTTGGATTGCAACCAACAGCTTACATAGTTTTTGAACAAATTAAATGAAATTTTCTGGCAAATCTGACTTTCTAAGCTCCTACAATTACTTAAGTAATCCTAATGAAGGCTATAAGATACAGAAGACCTGCAACAAAACAAATAGCCCTATCTAGAAAAATTACTAAAAGCACCCTACGCTAAAAGCTAATGACTTGTGAATAGGTTCTTCCCCTCATTCTTCTTGTTCCTGCAGCAATGTTGTTTCTAGTTTTAATTATGTTGTCTAAACAAATATAATTTGTTAGACCAGTTGGAAGAATAATTGTGATCTATGTTACATGGACTCTTCAAAATAAATCAAATACCCGTGTCGGACACCCGACACTCGGACAAGGGTATGAGATATGTGTCGGATACTTTTCAACGGATACTTCTTATATAACTGTATATAACACTATTATTATATGTATATATTGTTGTATAATTGCTATAAATGTCATTTTGACACTATAAGTTAAATATAATACCATTTTATCTCACACATTAGATTAAAAATATAAAAATATGACATTTTTTTGCCGAGTCCGCGTATCCTTAAATTTATGATTTGATGAGTCCGACCTCTAGATACATACCCGCACCCGACACCCGTACCCGAGTCCATGTAACATAGATTGTGATAACATGCAGTTTTCTATTGCTTTGAAACTGCAATATATATCATCGTAAGGTCCTCATAATTTACTATATATGAAATGAAATAGGCCTCTAAGTAATTTAATATATTTTGGAAGCTCAGTATTACCATGAAATGATTTGTGCATAGCATGTTCTGTCCTGGCCTGATACCATAATTGTTAATATATGAAAGGGTTTTCTTTTCTTTTATTTTTTATCTGTGAATTTTCTGCACTAATGCAAGTAATCCGTAAAAGAAATTTTAAACAGTCTCATGCTCCTAAAATAATTTATTTGGCAGATATATGATTATATCAAATCATTTTGGTGAAAAGTGCACCAGAATAGGTAGGCCACTATGTCGCAATAACCACAATTATATATTTGACGGAGTAGGTATCTTGCTTCATGGGAAGCACAGTTTCTGCACCAGACTATCAAAAGTTGTGAAGGTAGAGTACTTGTTTTTAATATTGATATTTTGGAGAGAGTTTGCCACTTTAAGACCCATTAATATTTTCTCCTCGACTATTATGATTTGTATCTATTTTGTGATCATCTCTCCAGCAGTTCTTGCAGGCTTCTGTGGATATTGTTTCACGTGCAACTAATAGCGGAAGAGTAATGATTTCAAATTGCAATACTACACTGGTTTATTGATCTTTGAAAGTGGTTATCCTGTGGTACAGAATAGTTTCCAATTTCCAATTTCAGTACTACACTAATTACATTAATTTTTGATCAGCAACAAAAATGAATTTTATTAGAGAAGAAAAAGGTACAATGAGGGGACAAGGAGTCCTCAACAACACTCAAAACTGAAAACAAGTACCACATTGGGACACATAACAGTAGTATTTTTCCAATCTACAGACTACAGATAGAACAAAATTAAGCAATAAATGGGATACATACATTATTTGGTGTAATGTAATATACAATTGGGCTTTCAATTGATATTACTCTGTCTAGATGTGAGATTTAATCTCGCATGCTTGTTCAGAGGTCAGACTGATAGAGAAATTTGATCATGAAGGTGAAGACGATGCTCAGTTTTTGTACCAGTTGGGAATGCTTTTGGGATTGTTTATGTTTTGTGAATCCCTTAGTACAATGATAAATCAATAGGGTAGATTCCCTTTCCACCACTTTGTGGTTCCTGAGGCTCATGGAAAATTGCCTACCCTGCCACCATCTTCCATAAGCCCCTTGGCAGAAATGTTTCAGAAGTTTTCAGCGAGAGCCAGTCGGAAATACTCAACCTTGATGAAATAATCTGGTTCATGAAGTTGACCTGAAGTGTTTTTTGTGTGCGTATGTTACATAAAATGCGTATTCACCAATTTTATTCTTCCAAAGTATTTTGTTTCTTGGAAATGACTTCCAAGTTAACAGATGGTTAGCAACCATATCAGTGTCGACATTAAAAGAAATTATTCAGTGCTCCATTTCATTTATTAATTGACACCTTGCACATTGTCTCCTAAAACTCCAACACAAAAGTAATAGGTCCTACAGTTTTTACCAATTACTATTAACTTGGAGCACCCCTGGACTTGAACATTGAATAATTTCTCCCACATTAACACTAACTTCATTTGATCGCTCAGCCTAGGCTTTAGACTGCTAGTTCATCTGATTGTGCCTATATGTTTGTGATTATAGTCTCACGTAGTCCTTGTTCTTTGTTGACTGCCAGCATGGAGGTGGCAAGGTGTTCAAAACCCTTCAGTTGTTGGTCCAGAATCTTAATGCTGAGAAGATTTCTGCAGGGGTTATTGTTGCCGAGGATGAGAGCAGGGTTTCGCGTCACTTGAAGCATTGTGCTTCAGAGGGCAAGATAGCAATGATGGTTGGTGCTTTTAATAACCATTCTCTCTCTAAATAGCTTAGCTGACTAAAGATAATATCAAACTCCCAGAGTGTTGAGAAAAAAAATGGTCTATTGCTTGTTAGGCCATAAATAAGATAGCGGCCGAATAATCTGTCTTTTCTGTGCCTTCAATTTTCAATTTTATGTATTCTTAGTCTTTATTGATTACTTAATGCAGCCTGCTAGCTGGATCATAAACAGCTTACATTCTGGAAAGCTTCTTCCTTTCATGGAGAATAGGCATTCCTCTTCTTTGCCCAGAATCAAGATTTTGGATTTTCCGGATTCCATGGCAATGAGTGAAGAAATATGAATCTTTCTCCTTCTGTAGCCGCTTATGGTGTATGTGTATAACTATTTTATACTGTACTGTTAGATGCTTATTATATGTATATATATATATTTTTTTTTGAGGAAAAGCAATCTAATGAAACATTTTAAAGTTATTTATTTGATGTATTTGTTACATGTTCAGGTATTGGGTTGATCCATGGAATTGTTTTAGACAAAATATCACTTGTTTTGTTCAACTTCTTCTGCTATGAAGAGAAGTGGTAAGCAATGCTTCCTTGACAAGTAGATCTGTTGAATAGGGGCTCGTTTCACAATTCAAACAGTGATCCTTGAAGTTGACTACTGAATTTCATTTGCATGATTGAAGGGGTTAAGCTCACCTTTTTAGAAACTTGGTTACTATTTCCCTTCTTGCAAACATTTTGAATGGTAACTTTTCCAAACAAAGCCCTACGATTTCAGCATTTAGATTCACTATGTTTGTTTCTAGTTTTTTAAAAACACTTTTCAGAAAATTCTACATTTTTGTTTCCCGTATTTTTTTTTTTGTTTTTATTGATTTTTTTTTAAATATTTTAAGCCATTTTTTTTATAAAAATTTTTAGACACACCTAACATAAATATACTTAAAATGCATAATTTTCGTGAAAAAAATCTTTAAAAAATTCACTAAATACTAGAAATACGAAAATTCAATATATTTTTTTGTATTTTTGTGTATTTATTAATTTTTTAAAATATTTTTTCACAAATATTTACTTTTTACATACATCTAAGTAAGGTGCATGTAAAAAAGTAAAAAAAATGTTTAAAATTTTAAAAATATTTATTAAAAACAAAAAAATACGAGAAATAAAAAATTTAGTTTTTAAAAAACTGAATTTAAAAAATTGAAATCAAACACAGAACTAGTATGTTTCACAGGTTTTGAAGCTAAGCTGCTGTTGTGTTCCTTTTCAGAGATGCTAAAATTTTGACAAGGAAGTTCCCTCAGTGCCTTGAAACTCTTGGAGCTGATGAGTTGAAGAGATAATATCCTGATGACCACAATTTTTTGTGACAATCTTTAGGTTTGTTGACATTGACAATTTTTTTTTTGGTGATTTCGATGAGCGGTGGAGTAGCTTTAATCGAAATAAAAGTTGATTAGAATTTCCAAAGTAAGTTATAAATAAGTAGTCATAATTGAATTGTTCCAATTTGACACCGGAAAAGTAGGAATGGGAATGATGAAAGAATGAAAAATGCTCTTAACTATTTTTAGGCAGCTATTAACTTGTGTGATGCAATAGGATCAGTCATCATGGGTCATGATATTTGAGTGAGATTTATCGGTTGTTTTGTGTATATTGTATAGTATAGTTGTATTGTCAACTCTGTTGTATAGTTTTATTTCTTATTATTACAAAAATTTAAGGTAATGTGGGAATCCTATTCCAATTTGTTTGCATGTTTTTTTTTTTAAATAATAATTATTATTCTTTCTTTTCCAAAAAAGAGGACTTTTTGTATTACCATTGGCTTTACAATAATTGGCATTCAATAAGTAAATATCTGATTTTTTTTTCTTCTTCAAATTAATTATATGGTCTTCAATTAATCTTCACCTTTGTTGGTTATGAATTTTTGTGGTGTTAGTTATAAGGGCCTGTATTATAAAAAAAAGTGAAATTACGAATATTCTATTTTTGGTTATGCAAGTGGTTTTTTTTTTTTGTTAAATGAATATTTGTGGTGTGATTTGTTATGAGGCTTTATGACATTTTTGTAGGGCTTCCCATGTTTCAGGAGTAGGTGTCTTTATATGTGTATCATTCTATACTATTTTTGGTTATGCAAGTGGTTTTTTTTTTTTTGTTAAATGAATATTTGTGGTGTGATTTGTTATGAGGCTTTGTGACATTTTTAGGGCTTCCCATGTTTCAGGAGTAGGTGTCTTTATATGTGTATCATTCTATAATTGGCCCTTTTCCTTTTAGTTTGGATGTCCTGTTGAATAAACATTAAAGTCAAATAAAAATATTATTTCATATTTTACTGAACACATGATTTATGATATATAAGATTTGGAACCAATCATAATTTTGGAGATTTTGAGTTGGATTACTATCCACTTTGTCTTACTTGATATTCATGATGGAAAATGCCAGAAGTCTCAAAATTGTTATCAAATATTTTATTAAATGTCTTATATGGATGTGGATCTCACACTTATGTAAGACCCATTTCATGTGAGACATTTGATAAAATATTTGGTAGAAATTTTGATATCCTAACATTACTCATATATGACGTGATCTATGAAAAATTGCATGTATTTAAGATTTACTTTACAAAAATGCGTTCGATGTGATCTTGTTGTAAAAAGGTTTCTCATAAAAAAAAAAAGAGCAATGGTTGAGAGCTCTAAACTAAGAGCTCTAATGTGTGTGTGGGTTTCACATGATATGATGCTTTGGCCTTATTTTTTTATTTTATTTTTTGATTTTCCAACTCACAAGAGCCGGTTTAGAGCTCAAAAATAAGGAGATGTATTGTTGAAAAAAAAGGGTTGTCCCCAGGTGGATTTTAGAAATGTGTACTTTAGCTAGTATTATGTATATTAACGCTTCAGTTAGATTTTGAATTTGCTAAGAAAATACAAAACGTAAAAGATATGAACAATAAAGAAAATGAAAAGAAAAGAAAATGCTGAATGAAAGAATATTAAAATATGTTATTCCCAATTCACTTGTAGTTTAAAATTTATCTTCTTGCATGCATTGCAAATTGTGTCATATAAAATTTTAAAAATTAAAAATAAATTTTGAGCAAATTGTGTCTCATAAAATTTTAAAAATTAAAAATAAATTTTGAAGCATATTTATAAATTAAAAAAAAAAGAAAGTGAAAAAATATCTAAAACCACATTCCACCCAAACCCAATTATATAGAAATTTTTAAAAAAGAAATGAAGCAAATGAATATATAAATCAAAGGGTAAATGGGTTCATATTATGGGCAAGAAAGAAATATCCATCTTTTAAAGAGGGACACATTAGAAAGGTAGCCTTCTCTTACAAGCCTCAAGGGGTAGTGAATAATGATACAACATGCAACTACTACTACTACAACATTCTCCTAATTCCTTGACAATTTCTTCAATCAAATCTTTGCATATGTAATCTTGTAAAACCAACCCTATTCTCCCAACCTCTCTCTTCTCCCCCCATGCAATGTCCCTACAAACTTCATCCACACTCTCTATCATATTCATGGTAACTTTGTTGCTCCATAAGTACGGTGGTGACGACACCTCGGTCTCACACTTTATTATCCCAAAGTCATCAACATCTCTTCTGATGAATCTAGGGTTTGTTCTCATCGGTTGTGGCTTTTGTTGCTGCTGCTGCACCGTTCGTCTTCCTGCACCTATTTATTTGCAACGAACACATACAATAATATCATCAATGTCTTGGCTTGGGAGCGAGCTTATATATATTGATAGTCACATTTAACATCGATATAAAATTGATTCGAAAAAATAAACAAGCAAGAAATTCAAGCACATAATTTTTTGATGGAAGAATGAAGTTTGTAAACAATAGTTAAAAAAATAAAAATAAATCCACTTGTTTGTTTAATTGCCTAGCTACTTTTTTTTTTTTTTTTTTGGTAAATGTTAGTTGTTAGATTAGCATCTATGAGAGAAAATTTTCCCACCCTTAACAAAGCACTTAATGTTTGCATTCTTTTAATTCAACTCTTTTAAGGAAAATTAAACCCATAACCTTCATAAGAACTAGGTCCTAATTAGCTAGCTACTTGACTTTATATTCAGGTCAATCTGTTTCATTAATAAGTTATGTATTTTGAACAAGTATCTTAAAAAGCAATTAAAAATGAAGTATAGTTGTATAGATTCAAATTCAGTTCAGCGTGAGCTATATTCACAATAAGTTTAGTCTGTAAATTTTATTTTTAGAGTAATTTTCAAAATATAATTTTAAGATAAAAAAGTATTGAATAGAGCTAATTATATGAATATGCATGGTTGGAAAAAGACTCATAATCTAAGTCTCACAAAATTTTCTCACAATAACACGACATGTTATGTGTTAAATTTTAAACTTTAATACAAATTCAACCATATTAGACATAACTCTATCTTACCATGTTATTATGAATAAATTGTAAGACATGAATTATGAATTTGTAACATTTCTTTACACAATTATATAGGGTGGGGGACCCTAAACCTGATAAAGTGGAGGAGTTGTTGTCACCTAAAGCCGATGTGAGTGCCTTCTTTTTTTCTTTTGCATTTTCTTTTTCTTTGTTTCTATTACTACTTTTCAGTCATCTTTGACTGAAGGACTAGAGAGAAAATATATTATTTAATAACTGCTATATGCTATTACTTTTTAAATTTCTAATGCTTTAATAATAATAATAATGACCAAAAGAAAAAGAAAAAAAACTTTTTTATCATTTTATTAAGAGGGTCCATGCTGAATATGCTATAGCTATGATTATTGTTGATAATTATGTTCTTTTGTAACTTTAATAATAGTTGCCAACTGGACTACCTCAATGGTGGAAAACATTGGCTCCAGTTCAAGGACATGTACTTATTATACAACTCCAAGTCCACTGCTTTCTGGGATTTAAAAATAAAATAAAAATAAATTCTTTTGTCACCTTGTTTAAATTCACTCACAAAAGATATATAATCAAATGACAGTGATTGAATTAAAATATACAGATAAATAATTTTTAGAATAGAAGATCTTTAGTGGAGTGGAGGAATCACTAGATGGATTTTTAGAAAAACATATAATGTCTAAAACATATCTATATCTTGATATTTATATGAAACATAATTCTCAAGAAAATTTTATAGAATGTGAAATTATAAAGTTGAAAAAAGAAAATCTGAAAAAATAATATGAAAAGTTATTCGTTCGTCTTGTTAATGACTGTTTATTGGGTGTTTGTTAGGAATAATTAAAAGTTATAATTTCAATATGAGCATTGCTATAGATGCCTAAAAATTAGACAAACTTTCTAGATCCAGTAATGTGTCAAGAAAATGGTTGGTTAATAATTAAACATTCTCGAATTGTCAACCAATTATCATCTTAATATATTACTGGGTTTAGTAAGCGAATCTAAAACATACGCTTGTATAACATATTCCTTTCAATAGACATTTAACATATTTTAATATATTTTACATTATTTTATATATTTAATGCATTTTTTTACACATAGACTAACATAAAAAGAAAAAAAGATTGTCTGATCTGATTTATCTAATCTAATCAAAAAGCAAAAAGCAACTTAAATATTTATGATGTAAGGACACACACATATATATACACACACACTAACAACATATGCCAAAGAACATATAAAAGATAAAGAAGTTGAGTGAAGCCAAATAACGGGTATGTTAAGTTGGGTTTCAAACCAAACAATAATAATACATGTTCATAAATTATTGAATCTAAAAATATGATAAAGATTGGGTCATGTGTTTCTTGGGCCAACAACAACTTCTAATGAGTCAAACTCAAGATATCTAATAGTTTATAGAACAAAATTCACTAATATAATCAAGCTTGATTTTTTTATCTAATAGGTGATATTGAATGATCTTGCAAGCAAACTTGACTAGTTTAAAAAAAAAAAAAAAAGGTTGAGTAGTTTGATGAGTCTTGTAGTTTAAAGGGTATGTTGATGTGAGAGTTGGCACAATTGAGCAATGTCTATTTAGCATGCATCTAAGATTAAGGAGTTAGGTTTGAGACTTGAATTCCAGTGTATGCAGTTTTTTATTATTTTATTTCCTTTCTATGATTGTAAAATAATATCTAGAACATCTTCATGAAAAATTGAAATTAATAAAGAGAATATTAAAAAATTCTACTTATTATGAAAATTTATCAAGAAATTTATTATGAATGACGGAGCATGGTTGGGAGATCTATGTACAAAATGAATTCGAATCATACATTGATATTTCTGGATAAAAATTTTGAGTGTAAAATCAAACCAAATTTTAAGTCCCATCAAATGATGTCAGATACATAAATATAAAAATTTTGAGTGTAGTATTAAAAAATTAGGTTAGCTTGTTCCCATGTTTATTCAAGCTTGAAAAACTTTAACCAGCCTAGAAAAATGACAAAACACAAAAACAAAAACAAATTTTTTTTTTTTTGGGAACATGAAACCGAAAGAGGGAATCAAATTGGTCACATCTTAATAAGGACACCTTTTTTGATCATTAAACTAACCAAATAATTAAAACTTTGACCACCCTTGTTCAAGAGGATTTCAAACTAAACAAAGTGCTTATTTTTAGAACTTGCAAGTGCCAAAGGAAAGTGTTTGGAAGAAAAAAAGAAAAAGAAAAACAAACAAAAAAGAAAAAGAAAGAAAAGAAGGTTTTTGTTTGATATCCTAAGTTGTTATTTATGTTAAACTTAATAAAAAAATATCTTAAAAATTGAAGGAAAAGACAAATTAAATAAGAAGAAGAAGATTACATACCATTAGTAATGTGTCTTTTTGAGAAGCAACTGGTGTTGAAAGGTGATTTAGTGAAGTCATCAAACACAGAGATCGGACTCCGCTCTTCGCCGCCGTTAAATTCCGAACACCACTTCACATTCCTCATTATATCTCCTCCACCACCGCCGCCTGCATTGCCCTCTACGCTGACCGGTGGCGGCGGAGATCGAAGGCGCTCCGGCTCCTCCGTAGATCGCAGAGACTCGATGATTTTCTTAATCGCCTGGAGATCTTCGTCACATTTCTCCAACGCTCCCAACAACTTCTTTCTCTTCTCCGCGATCGCAGCCTCCGCCGGAATCTCCTCCAGCCCCATCAGCCTCGCCACAAGTGCCGGAGGCGGCGGAGTACTAGCTCGGAAGTTTTCCGGCGAATTGACGGAATTCGATCGGCGAATCTCCGGTGGAAGTGTTGGGCTTCGAGGCACTTCGCACGAGAATCTCCGCCGAAAATCGACCATTTTGTCTCCTCCACTCCCATTCGTCTTCTTATAATCGCATCGCATCATCATCGTCGCTGGCGAAGAAGCTTCGATTTTCACCGGAGCCGGAGAATTCACCTGCTCGTTGTTCTTTCCATGCTTTCTACCTTGTAAAACAAAATTGACAAAAAAAGAAAAAAGAAAATCGTAATGTCAATCACTCTCATTCGATTCACAATTGAATTGTTTAAAAACTACAAATTGAAGTGTGAGAAAGGGAAGGAATCACCGAAAGTGATTCGGTTACGGTGACGATTTTGGTACTTGGAGGAGACGAGTCGAAGAATGCCGGACAAGCAACCGATGGTTTTTGCATGGTGGTGGTTTTTTTCAGGCACGGTTTCACGGCGAGACGACGATGACAGCACAGTCTCTTGTCTCTTCAACATTTTTCTCACTTTTTCTTTATCTCGCTAGAGAGAATTTCTCAGTGATTGATCATTGTAAAAAGATAAAAGAAGAGAAAAAGGAATGTTTACTTACCCTTGTAGTAAATAGTATGGTTTTAAATACCTAGCAATGTTGTACTTGCACATAATTTTATTTTGGACAAATTACGAGGTAGGTACTTAGAGCAAGGATTTTTAGAGTGATTTTTTTCTAAAGTTTCCTAGAGTGTTATATTGTGTGGTTGAGATTTACTGGCAAATCACATCAATTTTTCTGATATGACTTGCCAGTAAATCTCAACCACACAATGTAGCACTCTAGGAAACTTTAGGGAAATTTCACTCTAGAGGATCCTTGGTGAGGTACTTATATTTTGATTCTTCTAATTTTAATTAATTTTGATCATTAATATATAATTTTGTCTCTATTTGGTTTAATTAATTACAAGTCTTAGGGTTGATTTGGCATAAACTAAATAATATAAAAAGTCAAAAAGTCACTATCCTATTTAAGTCACATCATCTTATTTAAATCACATCACCTCTCTAACACATCACATCAAACCCAACCCAACCCAAACCCAACCCACATATAAGCCAATAAGTACACTTTTTTAGAACATCTCAAACCAACCCTTAGTATCTTTTATAAAAAATATGCACATAAGTGTCATATGTCATATTTTTAGGAATAAAATTATAAACTTACTAAGCCTCCGTTTGGGAAGTGGGTTGGCTTTTTGACTTTTTAGCTTTTTTGGCTATTTTAGCCTGGGCTTAAAAGCTTGGTTTGGGAAGGACTTTTTGGCTTTTTGGCTTTTTTGAGTTTTTTTGTGAGAGAAGAATGTAATGATTATGGGTTGGATGTGATATTTTGTTTGTTATGGCTAAAAAAGCCTTTTTTGTTTTTTGTGGCTAAAAAAGCCAAAAAAGCCTGCAAACCCACTTGCCAAACATAGGCTAAGTTTAGTGAGTTAACCGCAATTAATTTAGTGATAATTTTTTATAAAAGCTACTAAGCATATTATCAATTGGATTAAATTGACATAAAATTTAAAATTAAGGGTTAAAATTGAGTCAATTAAAAATATAAGAATCAAAATGACACAATGAGTAAAATGTAGAGGATCATTGATATAATTTACCTTTCTATTTTTTTAAAATCTTATTTTCTTATTCTTACTCACAAAATAATAAAATTCAGTGTAGGTCATTTGTGAGTTTGATTATCACAAAGGAAATAATTCAATACTATGAGAGTTCTAACTAAAAAATAAAAAAAATTGAGTTATAACAAAAAATTATACGAGGTATAATCAAACAACTCTTGAATCAAAATAAAAATAATGTCATAACCAATATCATAAAGTGTCATAAGTAACAACACAATAAGTCATAATCAAAGACACAAATATCGTAATCAAATGTACATATGGTATACACTATAAATTTTTTCCCCCTAAAATTCATATTAATAAATGCATGTGAAACCAATAAGATTTTGAATGTGTTATATATACCAATTAATGTACTAACAGATGATGTGTCATAATTTTAGAGATTTTGGGTATTTGTAATTTATATAATAGGTGGGGTCAGTAATAATGGTATAACACTAATTGGTACACTAGTGTGTACATTAATTGGTGTATGTAGCACTATCGTAAAATTATATATACTCCATTCGTCTCAAAATAATAGTTCATTTTGGAAAATTGAACTTATTTTTGGTAGTACAATTATTGCACTTTAAAAAAAATTGATTTTCCAAAACTACCCTTTGATAGTATATTTTTTTAGGAAATATCAATTGTCATAATTGTACTTTTTATGTTATTAATGAATTTAAAAGAAGGAAAAAATAGGAAATTTATGTTATTTTTGTTCTTAATTTTTGAAAAACGACTAATATTTTGAGATAATGAAAAATGGAATAAAAAATATTTTGAGAGGACGGAGTGGTATTTTTTTTAAGGACTAATGCTACTCGTCTGAGAACAGGCTAATTTAGTAACTTTTTGGCTATTTAGCTAAAATATGAACTTAAAAAAATTAGTATGTTTGGGATGACTTTTTGATTTTTTACGAAAAGATGTGCAAAAAATAGAGAGAAAAGAAATCTTTGACTTTTTGGTATAGGTTATTAGCTTTTTGATTTTTTTAGTGATTTTTTGACTTTTTAACTAAAAAAGCCACTTGCCAAAGGAGGTGTATTTATAATCGTATTAATTGGCCATGATTTTGATAACGGTTTATTTTTAATTTGTGCAGTAATTAAATGCATTTAGTATTTGACTATTTTAATATCTTTTAAATTTATATATAATATTTTATAATTAATATTTTATATTTTTTATGCATAAAATTAATTAATAATTAAGATTTAACAAGTTTTCAAGATGAATTTAATGAAAGAAAAATTTTATTCACACATAAAATTTGATTAAAATGATGTAGCAATGTCATTATTATAAATAGATTCATTTTTAATAATATTTTATTTTGAAATAAAAGATCCACAATAAATCATATTATTCTATATAAAAATTCTATATAATTTTTTTATTTGTATAACATTAAATAAATTCATTAATTACTTCTTATCAACTGCTATGGGTCACTTGTAAGCAGGACTGAGGATTGATGTTATGCCGAAAGACACGGCAACCTTGTTGTGAGTTAATTTATTAAGAGCTTTTTTGAGTATATTTTGATAATCGAAATAATTCATATTGTAAGATTTATTGATGTTAATAGAATATTTTTAGTCCCATGATCATGTCTTAATTGTTAAAAAATTACTATCAAAATTCTGTTAATTGTTTGTTTTTAAAACAAAAAAAACGAATGTCCTCTTGTTATGAAATTACAAATGTCCAATTAACTTGATTTTTTGTATGGATGATCTACTCAACGAACTTTACAATCAATGGTGGAGCTAGGAATTTGATTCACGGGGAGCACCATTAAATTAACTTCTTAGCAATATCAATTATAAAACCTAACAAAATCCAATTTTCATTTGATAATAGAATAACTAAAGATCAACGTGATGTGAAAATTATAAGTAGTAGTTATGTTTTAATTATCCAATAATTTTTTATTTTCTATTTTAGATAGGGATTGGCGCGGCTCAGTTGCGGCCACGAAATCTCCAATCCGCCATTCGTTCGTCAGATTGGTGGATTGGAGAAAATCAATCTGCATCCATTCGCCAATCCGGTAGATGTGGATTGAGTGGATTGGTAAATGGATGCGAATCGGTTTGACGGTTTAAAATTTTATAAATTTTCAACATAATTCAACTTATGCACTTCCTCGAAAAAAAAGAAGAAAGTATTATAATTAATAATTTAAAAAAGTATTACAATCACTGCATGCCTCATTCAAAGAAAGAAAGTTTGAAACTTTAGAATATTATAATCACTGCATACCTCATTCACATATTACAATCACAGCATGTCTCATCTACATAAAGTATTACAATTTGTGGATCTTAAAATATAAAAACAATTCAAACCATCAAAACCATGAACAGAGTTGTAGCAGAGATTGTATGATTCTGTATTGTTACATTTATATCTATTTTTTAAAACAAAAACCAACCAGCATATATTATCTTTTTTATTTATTATTTTTAGAGTTAAATTTAAAAAAAAATAGATAAATAATACATTTATTTTTTTCAATTCAAAATATATATGTAAGTTGAAAACTTTTTTTTCAACAGAATATTTAAACTCTTTTTCAATTGAAAACATGAATAGAATATCTAAACAAATTGAAAATACAAAGTTTTTCAAATTATTATTAGGGGTGCTCGCGGTTTGGCGGTTCGGTTACGGCTAAAAGAACTTTAAATTCACCATCCGTCTAAAACTAGGCGGATTGAAAAAAATCAATCCGAAACCGTCCGTTAGTCATAACGCATCCATCCAAAATGCGGTGGCTCGGTTCGGTTCGGTTCGGTTCACTCGGTTTAGACGGATTGGTATATCTGTTGCTCACCCCTAATTTTAGTTGCTAAATATAATGATAATCACAATTTAAAATATAATTACATGCATACAAAAAGATGAAGAAGATAGATGTGGAAAAAAACAAGAGAGAAATGAGAGAGATAGAAATAATTATAAGAGAATATTTTGATAAAATTTAATATTTATAGTGACAAATTGTAAGGAATTTATTAAAAAGAAAGAAAAAAAGAAAGATGAGATCTAAAAATTTAGACATATTGAAAAATAAAAGGGAATTAAATGAAAAACTTTTTCTAATTATAGATAAATGTAATTTTTAAAGGGTAAATTATAAATACATTCTTTGAGATTTACTTAAAATAGAATTACTCCCTGTGGTTTGAAAAATTACAAGTATCTCCCTGTTAGAATTTTTTATTTAACCGAATTAATTGAAAAAGTGAAATTTCTAACTATTCAACTATACAATAATAAAATTATATGAATTATTAATTGAAATAAAATTTTAACATTATTAAAAATTATTAATTAACTTGATAATTTATTAATAAAATGACGTATTTGTTATGAAATTAAAAATCTTAAGAGGTATAATATAATTTTTAAAATTACAAAAAATAATTTATAATTTAAATAAACCCCCAGAATGTGTTTGTAATTTATTCATTCTATGTAGCTTTCGTCCCTACTTACAATATGAATAATTTTGATCATTAAAATAGATTCGGGACAAGTTGTCATAGGGCGTCACATCTTTTGATCATTAAAATAGATTCGGGACAAGTTGTCATAGGGCGTCACATCAACTTGGCACAACAAGCTCCTCAATTCCTTTGTTAGCTACCCTTTTCTAAATAGCGATATTGTTAGAGGCATTCAGGAATCTCAAGGGATAATAAGTATTATGGTCTCATTTGCGAAGATGAGATTTTAAATAAAAAGTCTGAAAAGTTAACTCGTTCTTTTTTTTTTTTTTTAATTATAAAAAATTAAAACTCATTACAAAAATCAATTTCCAAACAAATTTTAAGAATCAAGAGTTATAATTGTGAATTTTTGAAAATCATTAACTGTGAAAAGGAAATTCATAATAATCAAACTAATTATATCAAA